GGGAAGGGGCGGAGTTGGGGTGGGGCTGGGAAATGGGTGGGGCCAGGGCCCCATGGAGGGTCCTCTTTTTTAATTTGTTAAAGATGGTAACCCTAGTGTCCATTAATTTTTTATTGTTCTTTTAACTGGTAAAAAGCACAGTTGTCCAAAAGACAGTATTTGTTCATTCAGCACATGATTTACATTAGCAAGTGTATCTTTATAGTTCTCCAAGATTAAAGTATTTTCTGTGTTTGCAAATGGGAAACTGGGGTACAGAGCAGGCATTACTTGGCCAAGGTCAAACAGGGAATCTAGTAGAGCACGGAACTGAACCCAGATTTCTGAAGTTGCAGTCCAGTGCCTAAACTGCAATACTTTGTTTGTCACCCTTTACATGCCACCCATGGACCATGAGAGCTGGTGCTGTTCTCAACAAAAGTCCCCAGAAAAGGAGACTCTCTCCTTGGGTTGAAAATCTGAAACACCCTCTTGTGGAGTTGGAGGACTTTTGTGCTCAAACTCCCTCAGAACGGTGCTTATAGTAGTGCTGGAGCAAAAGCAATTGGTCAGCAACAAAAACAGCAAAACCATCTATGCAGCAAGCTTATAAAGCAAGGTGGACTGATTTAAATAAAAAATATTTAAATCAGATTATGTGTGTGATTTAAAGATTTTTTTAAAAAGTAAAATGCAAAAATTAATGGTAACCATTACAATGTATTGGATTTGCAACTAAATCTAGTCTTAACACTATATTTTCTGCTTCTTTTTGCTAACCTGGAGAATACACTCTATATACATATATTAAGCAATTACATAGCTTAAAATGTATTCAGATTCTTAATTTACATTTTTATTATTTTAGAAAAGGATTCATTTTTACTACAAGATTTGTGTCAAACTTTGTTTGGATGAAAACTCAAATTCAATTAAATGCATAAAACAGCATTTTAAAACTGTTTATTAGTTACAATTCTTAAATGTGCTGATACATAAGAAGAAAGTAATCAAAATAGACTTTGCATATAAAACTAAGTGATTTATTAAAAACAAAGGAAATATTATTTATAGTTAGTGTATTGAACTGATGGTGACTGGAAACAATGTCCTTCAAGATTTTAGAACTAGTAAATCTCCTCCTCACACTAGTTTTTATTCAGAGATGGGAATAGGAAAACAAGGTTTTCTGCACTTTCAACTCCCCATTCAAAGTTAAGGAGGCAATAAACTAGTCATTGAGCTGAGCTAGTTGAATAAACCAAAGAGAC